CAGTGGGAATTAACTGATAAATCCAATTGAAGAGTTTCCATTCAAGGGAATAAAGAGGAAACAATGTAAGTCTTCCTCTCCAGCACACCATAATATGGGCCTACAAGAAAAAGGATACTTTACCAATTTTCCAAGTAGCCCAAGAATTTTTACAACTATTAAAGCAAAAGGAAGTCACATATGAATTATTCCTAGAAATATTTTTATTTGAAAGTGATTTATGTCCCAAGTGGTATAGTGCAGATCACTTGAATATAGTTAACACTATGAGCTTTTGCTGAAAAAGCTGTCCAAAGATGTTTCAAATAAATTATTCATATATATCTACATTTTTTTGCTCTTGTTATTATTTATCTTCTAAATGGAAGCTGTCTTTTTTTCATTTCCACAGTAAACGCTTTGTTTAATTAGACATATTCCAAACAGAGTGTTTCCAGAAAATGGAATAAAAAAATGTATATTTATTTTATTCTGAATGTTATAAACAGAACTGCTCTATTATTATTGAAAAGATGCTGATTAAATTATGTTATTAAGAACTACCTAAATTCATTTTAGGTACATTTTAGTAAGTAAAATTTAATCATTTTGTAGATATCATAAAATCCCCTCCATGATTCAATGCCACATGCTGGGTTCAGTTATTCGAATGCACATAGATGAAAATCAACAGACTCGGACCATATATTTTCTGGAAGATGTTCTTAATTTTTCCTTCTTCAAAGTAGAGGGGTGGAGGGAAGTGTAAACCATTTAGCCCAAATATCAAGCTATAGAGACCCATGTTTTTGTTTCAGCAATGTATGGTAGGGTGAAGTTTTATCATGAATGCAGAACTCCTGAAATATATCACTGATAGCTAAATCTGAGAGAAGGTGGGGCCAGAGGTGAATATTCTATTGATAGGAAAATTACATGGTTCTTAAAATTTTAGAGAATATTTTCTTTCAAATGGTTCTTTTAAATTAGTGCCTCATAACTACTGGTAGCAAAAGGAAATATATCTTTGCTTCCAAACAACTTCATAAAATTTTGTATCTATAGCTAACCAAAGTTTTCTTGTATGTCAGGAACTCCACTTAAAAGATGTACCTAAGAAGCAGATCTACACAGTCCATCTGGACAAAAATAAAAAGGTCTAAAAATTCATTTGTGGAGCTGTAACTAAGGGGCTGTCTACATTAATCAAATTACATAAGAAATGGCCAAATGTCTATTTTGTGCTGTGTAGAGACAGACACTGACAATCAAAGCTAGGGAGTTTTAATGAGGAGACTTAATTAAGAACACATCATCGTCAGAAATAAGAATCCTTAATTCTGAGAAAATCACTGCCAAACTTAGCTAGCTGTGCTAATTAGCAAAGACTGGGGATTCAGAAAATTAGGCTGTTAGAAAAAAAGCACGCTAAAGAGTGACTTTACAGAGTACTGACCAAACATTGTATTATTATGGTGCTGATCCTATAACAGAGAATTTTGTAAATTTTGTCAGGGACAGGAATTTAAAAGATACCCAGCTATACCTCCCATTGAAGTACAGAGTTCTCTATAAATCTCCTGACACGAGGGTCCTTTTAATTTTTGAATAGCTCAATTTAATTGGAAGTATTATCTTTAACAGAGCCAAATCTGTGTCATTGAGTTTATCATTTATTGTTTAATTCTTGGTCTCTGAAATTATCCAGATGAAGTCTTACCCAACTTCTCTCCATGTGTGTATCTGTTATGTTTTTCTTTTCTAACACAACAGGATTCCCTATTGTTTCTACTGTCCCTCATATAACCCTGTTTCAAACCTTACCACCAACTGTGTCAGTGTTTCTAGAAGAAATCCACCTGCTGTCCTTAAACTGCGATACCTTCAAGCTGTGATCGATGTGTCATATAGTAGGACTGTTGCTGTGGTCCTCTGGACTCTAAAATTCTGTAATTGCTACCTAAGTTTGTATTAACACTTTGGCAGGTATAGCACACTGTTGGCTGATTTTGAACTTGTAATCAAGTAAAACACCTGTCTTTTTCCTATGAACAGATTCTGAGCCAGGTTCCTCTATACTTTGTACCTCACCACGATTAATTTAAGCTAAAATTTATTTCACCCTCATTAAAGAAATGATCAATGTACACTTGTTCAAAAGCATGAAAATACAAAAAGATGAGCAAGAATAAAAGTTAAATATAAATCACTCCTGTACTCCAAATGTTTGAAGACAACCACCATTTATATTTTGGTATATTAGGTTTCCCTACCAATGTGAAAGTAAAACATTCCTACTTGGTATGATATGCTTTTGCTTGCTGTTGGATATTTTTGTGGACACACAAAATTCAACTATATAGATTCCTATGATTTACCCATTTTCTAAGTTGCACTTGACAAGTTTCTGTTAAAGTTACAGCTTTTCATCTGCTTTCATTTGAAATGGCTTCACAATATTACAATTTTATATGTAACACTCTTCCAAGTAAACCAGTTTAAAATGTAGGGATTTGAAACAATTATTTTTCTGATAATGCTGCAATTTGAAGAATTCAACCTTTTGTCTGCTCTACTTCGAATCTAATTGTCTCAGTTCAAAGGCTGAAGGTTGGAATCATCTGAAAATTCACACATTAGTAGATGCTGGCAGTGACCTTAGTTGGGGCTTTCTGATGGATCATACAGGGGACCTTGCTAGGTGCTCTGGGCTTCCTCATATTTAGAAACAAAACAAGCTGGGTGTCAAGGGAAAAAAACTCCTAGAGAGAGTCTGGTGCAAAGTCATATTAACTTTAAAAGTAACCCAATTTCATTTGCATCATAGTCTAATAATGAGAGAGCCACAAAGTCTTGCCTGGGTTCAGGCCACCACGAGAGCAATTTAGCCAAGATTATTGAGATGGAAGACTAAGTGGCTCTGATTCAAAAGAACAAAATCACAGCATATGAGCTGTTTAAGAGTCACTCTGCAAAGCTTAGCAGACAATTTATTACTCCAAAAGGTGGCAGTAGTGGTGGTGGTGGTGGTCCAAGAAGTTTTGATGTGGCCATGACAGGTGATGCTTGAATTAGGTTAGTGGTTTTTCCATCTGTGGGTAAGTCAACACTGTTTAGTAACATTGTGGGGTTTGCAAGGTGACAGCCCTGTTTCACTACTCTGACCGCTGTGCCTGGTGTCATCAATACAGAGGTGCCAAGATCCACTTCCTGATCTTTCCCAGATGGGGGCAAAGGGTGGGAAAGGTAGAGACTGTGGAGTCATTGCAGTGGCCTAAGGATTTAACTTGTTCTGTGTGTCCTGAAACTGTTGGGATATTAGATATTTGATTGTGAGCTGGAGGACTTTGGCATTTGCTTTGAACAGCAAACCCTCTAACATTGGCTATCAGAGGAATAAAAGAGGCATGTATCTCAGGACCACTTTCCCTCCCTGCTAGCAGGATGTTGAAACTATGAAGAACCTTCTGGCAAAATACAAAATTCATAATGGAGGTGTGACTCTGCATAGCAGTTACACAGCAGATGACCTCATTGCTGTAGTTGGAAGGAAACAGTTTATCTGTTCCTATATGTTAAATAAGATTGAGCAGCACTGTTTACAATAGCTAAGCTTTGGAAACAACCCAAATGCCCAAAAATAGATGACTGGATCAAGAAGATGTGGTACATATATACCATGGAATATTACTCAGCATTCAAAAAAGATAAACACATGCAATTTGCAGCAACATGGATGGCGCTGGAAGGGATCATGCTCAGCGAAATAAGCCAAAAAGAAAAAGAAAAATACCAGATGGTCTCACTCATAGCAGGAATCTAGAAAACTTAAATAAGGGACCAGGAAAACGAATAACTATAAGAAAGTGAAAATCAAAATCAACAAAAAACTACGAACCAGAGACACTTTTAAGGGGGTGGGGGTGGGAGGGGAGAGATTGGGGGCAGAATGGGGGGGCTGCAATTGTATGGGGAATATAAAAATAAAATTTATTATTAAAAAATAAATAAATAAATAAAGTTTCCAATGAAACACACACACACAAAAAAAAAAAGATTGAGCAGATCTCCCTGAAGGAACTGGATATTATACAAAAGGTGCCCCACTGTGTACCTATCGCTTCCCGTTACTGCTCAAATTTTGTTGACCTGTTATAAAAGATCTGGGACTACCTGATATAGTGAGAATTTACACCAAATCCAAAAGCCAGATTACACACCCCCAGTGGTGCTTCCTTACTCCAGAACCATGATGGAGTACTTTATGAAGATTCACAAAATTCTTATCAAAGAATTTTCAATATGCTTTGGTCTGGGATCTCTGAAACACAATCTTCAAAAGGTGGACAAAGACCATCATTGGAAAAGGATATCACTCAGCTTGTGATGAAGTAAAACTTTCTTCTCTCCCCACCCACCCCCCCTGAAACCAAGCCAACAACATCAGTATTTTCCATGACCAAGCACCCTTCCACCCATCACCCCTCAGACTTTTATAGCCTCTGGATCAGGTTTCAGAGGAGGGAGATGGAAGCACCCAAACTGGAACTTCACTTGTCATAACTTGATGTGACCTTGTTTGTTAACTTTGTAAAGGACCTGGTAGGGGCTGGCTTAGGAACCTACATACACAGTCAATAAGGATTGCACAAATATCTATTTGAGGACTCATAATTAAGGTGGTCATAGTATCATAAACATTTTTGAAATCTTGATCAGGGCATGCATATGCAAATCTGCAAATATGTAAACAAGGACACCATTACCTGAGGTGAAGCTAATGAATGTTTAATAAATTCTTTAGTAACATAACCTTTCTATGACAGTGCTCTCTCTGCTTTTAATGCTAATACAGGATTCATCAGTAATTATTTAAAGGTTTATCTTTCATCATTTAATTAATGGGAATAAAGAAAAACCATGAATATATTCTATTACTGAAGAAAATGACAAAATATAACTACCAAAGAAAACAAAATTTTGTGAACGCTCATTTAAGACCAGTTTTTTTTTTTTTTTCATGTCAGAGTATAATGTGCCAGCATCATAACAAGGTTTGAGGGAGGCACATTTCATGCAATGGTGTGAATACCCCAATATCTATACTTGAAGAAATACATTAAGATAAATAAGAGCATATGGCAACCCAAATATGTTAAATTCAGTTTATGAATATGATGAGTAGGAACTGCTAAAAGTAAAAAGGAAAGGTAAATCCTTGAGATATTCAATTCTTGAATGTGTCCAAGACCTTTTGTGCCCTGCGTTATATAGTAATTATTCAAAGAACATTGATAACAATGTGGTCTACAGTCTTATGCACACTGGATCAGATCAGCGATCTGACACATGAAAGAATGCAATGGTCATTTACTAGCCTGTGTGACAACAGCCAATTCATTTCATTCAAGCAACAAAATTTTAGGAAAGTTCTACCATGTGCTATGCACTCTACCAAGTAATGGTATATAGCACCCAAAAAAAATGTCACTCGCTTCATAAAGTTAAGTGTCTAATAATTTAATCTCTAGTTAAAACCTGATTTCTTTAGTACCAGAGTTCTCACTTATGAAATTAAAAAATTGGTAATTTATATGAGCCTATCAAAGATTCCTGAGTGATCATAATAAAATGTGCTTTTAGTCATGTTCTCTGTAATGATTAAGGGCTGTCCTGAGCTATTCATATCATGATGCAAGGTCCTTGTGTGATTATAACAGTCACTCCTTGAGTCATTTGGGATTTTTGTTATATGACGTGTCAAATGCCATCACAATACTCATTGAACAATGCAGGTGTCCATCCCATAATCATGACCTCTTTAAATTCCTTGCCATAACTCAGTATATTCCAACCGGTATAAAGGGGACATGGGGTACGAGGAGCTAATAATTTCCTCCACCTAGCTTGAGGTCCAAAGCAAGAACTCTTCTCTAATATTAATCTTATTAATTATTGTTTTTCATATATCGTGTGTATGTATGTGTGTGTATTATATACATATATATATATCACCTTCTAGGTACGTTTCTAGGTTCCTATGTAGATTTGATGTATAAAAAAAATTAAAAAGTATTACTCTAACCAACCTACATATAAAATAAAAAATGGGTAAAGAAATAAAGTTAATTAAAAAGCAGCAGAAAACTAGGAAAAAGTCACAGTCAAGTTCTAAAAAGTCCCATAGAGTACCAAAACTAATTTAATATTACTTGTATAAAATTGAAACAAACAAATCTTATTAATACAAAACTTCAGAATATAAAAATGAAATTAATCTACAGTAAAGAAATAAAGGGCAATCTTTTGTCAAAAATGTCCCAATGAGAGCTGTAAGTTCACCATTTCAGTTTATGAGGCAGTATTCCTTTCCCATTTATTTAATGTCTACAAATATCTTTCTCTAAAATTGCCTATAAATAGGCTCTGTATTGGTAAAGTTAAATAATACATATCACCAACTAAATTCCACCAATTTTCTCCATTTTAAAGCTTTCTCCTTTAACTTAAATATAAGTAAATAATTTAGATCAAAGTTCTGATTTTTTATAAGTCCTGTTGATCCTACCTTACCTCAGGTTGCTCAAATCTGTCCACCACCCCATTTACACATTCACGGTTTAATTTTTATGTCAATTATCCACTCTATTTCCCACTGTTTTTTGAGTGGTTTGCTATACTCTTTAAGACATTTTAAAGGGTCCTGTTTGTTTCTTTAAATGATTTCTGCAGAACCTACAAGTCACATTTTTTAAGATATATATTTTATATTTCCCATACAATTGCACCCCCCTTATTTTGACCCCAATCCCTCCTCTCCCCGCACCCCCTCATACTGTGTCTCTGGTTTATAGTTGCTTGTTCATTTTGATTTTTTCTTAATTATAGTTATTCTTTTTCCTGGTCCCTTATTTAAGTTTTCTAGATTCCTGCTATGAGTGAGACCATCTGGTATTTTTCTTTTTCTTTCTGGCTTATTTCGCTGAGCATGATCCCTTCCAGCTCCATCTATGTTGCTGCAAATTGCATGAGTTTATCTTTTTTGATTGCTGAGTCATATTCCATTGTGTATATATACCAGATCTTCTTGATCCAGTCATCTATTTTAGGCAATTGGGTTGTGTCCAAAGCTTACCTATTGCATATAGTGCTGCTATAAACATAGGGGTGCAGGTGCCCTTTTGAATTAATGTTTCATTTTTAAGAGATATTTGCATATTTGGGGTGCAAGTTTTCTTTAAAAGTAAGTAACACTGGTCAGCTGAATAAAGTCAAAGCTCTGGGATATGGCACTTCATCTTTCTTGATCTGGATTCAGCATTTTTCATTAGTCTCATCTACTATCCTCATTTCAAACTGTTCTAAATTGTTCATAGTACCTCCCCTAAATAATAGTGTATCAAATGTCTATGCATTTGAACATGCTTATCTTTTCCTATTTATAGCCTCCATTCTCCACTTGTCACTATAATTTACTTCTCTGAAATCTGTTACTCTTCCAACACTGAGTTAAATGGATATTTATGTTTATCTTATCTACTATGAGATTGTGGATTGTATCTTACTCAAGCAGCATAATCCCCAGCTACATTAGTTACACAATAAATATTAAATTAAAGAGAAATAGTTCCTATAAAGTTATTCATAATATTCTTTGAAGCTTTAAAAGTCAAATTTAATTGAGAACCCTAGTAAAATAATATCAAACTTAACATTTTCAATTCCTCACAAAATTAATAATGTTAGTTCAGTGTAGCAAAGGGAGGATTGGAATTTACAAGGCCTATATTAATTTCAGGAATTACTACATTGCAGGCAGTGTGCTAGATGCTGAGAATTGAAAGATGAATGAGAAAGGATTGTCAGAAGCTTCAGCTCAAAAATATATGTGATCATCTATACTCATGAAGCCAACCCAAACTTGACTAAAATACTCATGAAAATAAAAGGGAAAATACATTTTTGATATCCTCAAATACTAAGACTAATAAAATCAGTACCAGTATCTGCAAGGAAATGAACTGGTAATGTATTCAGTTAATGTGAACTGATAATTTTCCAAAGTTTCAGTAAATGTTATACCTTGCTTTTGTTTCAGGCTGCTAGCATGGAATGTATCTCAAGATTTACCAAAAAAGGAAGTATTTTAGAACTAAATTCTGTATTTCATTACAACAGAATATCTCCAAAGGGCGTTCCTGGCAATGCTAGTTTATATCATTTCCTAAATGTATATCATCTTTTAAAAACAATGTAAAAAGAACTTCTCATTCCCAATATTTCAAGAAAAGCAAGTGTCAATATTTTTTCTGAATGCACCAACATGGGTATATATACCAATTTCTGAACCAACCCTTGGGATTGAGAGAATTAGTTAATTGGCTAGACTTTATTTATATCTCTATACCTGAAGAGACAGCAGTAAAGGTAAGAGGCCACCCATATCTAGCCCACATGGATTGAGAGTGGGCTCTTCCAAATATAATCAAGCCCCTGTTATAAGAAATAAAAATAAAAGATGTTGAATATCAAAACAGCACAAGTCCACTGAAAAGAAGGGAGAAAACCACCAAATCACTACTTGTTTACTCTCTTTCCAGCATTATTCCTCACTAGACTAATAGACTCGTAGTGTTAGGCACTCTAGGTAGGGTGAATAATGTCTTATAATTATGAAAGATTTAACTTCACTTATTTCACGAAAAGGCCTCAGGGATCCATTAACCATACTTGGCAAGAAACCACTATAGAAAATATTTTTAAAGCCAAACCAAAGAACTAACCCGTGAACTTTAACATTGGAATGGGGGCAACCAAGGGGGAGGGGAGGGCAAAGCAGAGGGACAAGAACAAAGAAGGAAGTGAGCACAGGGTCTATTGTGGTGAGCTATGGTTTCTTTGAGAGTAGGTGCACTATGGCAACAATGCCTGAAGGGGGAACATACACTTCTATTTTGGAAGCAGTGATGTAAACCAATATTAACTCAATAAAAATATTTTCTTAAATGATGATATCTGGGCATTCTGATAAAATGCATGTTTTGATTTAATTGGTCTAGCATCATTTCTGAGATTTTTCATTTCCAACAAGCTCAAAGATACTACTGATTCAGCTGGTACATGGAACACTCTGTATAGTAGAACTTAAACAGTAAAGGCACTTTAAAAGAACTCCAGAGATCAGAATGTATTCTTTTTTTTTAAGATTTATTTATTTATTTACACAAGAACAGAGGTACAGGCCAGATTCGCGGGCGGGTGAGAGGATTCACCAGAGACAGAGCGGGGAACAGAACAGGCAGACAGACCAAAATACACTGCCGAGGGGAGCAGCAGACGAGACAGGAGAGATCTGCCGCGCCATGTGGGACCCTTGCCAGCAGCCAGGATCGAACCTATGCTGCAGAGGCTGCGGACAGCTTCACAGTGCGGCGCTCAACCACCTGCGCCACCAGGGGAGGCCCTCAGAAAGTATTCTTAATGTATTTTCTCTCTCTCTCTCTCCTTTTCTCTCTCTCCTTCTCTCTCTCTCCCTCCCCCCCCCTCTCTCTCTCTTTGTGTGTGTCTCCACTCCTTCTCTCTTCCTCATGTCATTCACATTTTGTTCTAAGACCGATATCACACTTGGTCCTGAGATGCTTACAAGAAGCATTTGAGCCTCACACTTCCTCTTTAATGTCCAGCTGGAGAGAGTACCACCCAGATTCAGGTACCAAAGGCTTCAGCTCCTCTTCCCTGAACTTCTCCAAGCAGTTCTTGCAGTTAAAAAACATCAAGTATGATTGGCTCAGAGCTTCAATATGTGGCAAGAACCACAGTAATTTTAATTAAAATTAACTTTTAATTAACTGGAAAATGAAATGGTGTGGTGTAATATTGAGCCAGCAAATTCCACTTCAATTTAGCATAAAAATAAAGGGATGAAATGTATGAAATAAACATAAGGAATACAAAAAATAAATATGCAAATGGAACACCAAAAAGAAAGGACTAGGAAGAATGATAAAATGGTATGTGATGCCACAAATAATTAAGGTACTGTAAAATCAAGTAGCAATAATTATAATAATGGAGTTAGAATCTGTTTTTATTAAATATTTAAAAAATGGAGCATAAGTGCTGCAAG